CACAGACTGTGAGTACTGTGGCCCCCTACCACACGGTTAGGATGGTCGAAGTTTTCATTGGGACGGTAAACAAGCTGAGGACACGGACTGGATGGTTTGATCAATCTAGGTTAACCAAAGCGGATGAAACGTCATTTGGGTCAGCGTAGAAGGATCGTTTGAATTTCCTAATGACACGGCTGTTGGTACATTTCGCATTCTATAGCAACCCGTTCATAATGAGTAAGCATAAGCAGCGCAGCTGATAGTGACAGATCAGTACTAGTGAAGGGTGGGTATAAAAGCTTGCTAAGCCTTTCGCACATTGCAGCAGGTCGTTGATGACGGTTTTGGCTGAAAGCATAAGTGATATTGTAGAAGTTGATACTGAATTGCTTCGACGTCTCTTTAGGCTGAGGAGAATTTCACTATTATTCTTTAAACCAACCACCTAGAGATTTTCAATAAACACGTTTTGGAGTCACGGTTCCTCAGCCAGGCAAGAATTTCGATGATCCCAATTATAGGTTGGGAATATTTACTTGGTTCTATTAAGTGCTTGTTTTCGTTACATGTAAAGCAAATTTTCCTGAGACTACTATGCTTTATCTTTGCATTAATACAAGCAATTCTAGGCAGTAAGTAAAACCCGTTTATGGTTTTAGGAGCGCCAGGAAAACAGCCCTAGTTTTAATACCTAACAGGGGAAAATATTCCAAATATATGCGATACAATGGTCTAGGCTAATCAGATTGTCTAGGTATATAGCAATAAAAGCCATGTATATAGAACGTTAAGTCTAATATTATGTGGCCGCTACTTGTAAGTTTGCCAACTGCGCTGGCACTTGAACGAAAGATAACCTTGGTAAAGATAAGTCCAAGGATGTTAGTGTCCCTAGCAAAAAGTTACGCATTTGGCTTGCGAACCATAGAATCGTTTTGTAAAATGGGCATAAAACTAATGCTACTGGTGACACCTAAGAAGCGTACGTGCTTTATCTTACAGGTCTTGTTCCCTATCCAGAGTCAACCCGCATCACTCGACCTCTGGCCTACACTTTCTGAGTTCTTCCCACAATGCACTTGACCACTGGAATAGCCGAAGTTGGTATTGAGTTAAGCACAAAGAGCCGCAAGGAACAAATAGCCGTTGGCGGTTGCAGACTTTAGCAACCGAATTATTTCACAGACTTTTGACTGTGCGATGCCCACAAAGGCTCTGAAAATGTAAGTGTGGCGAGGATCGTTTTGATCGTGGACCGGGGTGCGGGGAGAGAGTACACTTTTGGGCATGAAGCGCAGGCGGTTTCCGGTTGGTCTTTTATAAAAGCCCCTTTTTCTACGACCCGACGAGCTCTTCCGATGACCAATAGATGATGTACCATGGTCCACCTGCAGAAAGTAACCAACAAATACCAACTAATCTTGGACCAGGCAAAAGCAGCTTCACGCCACAAATGCGGTTACTAGGTTTGACACTATGCCTTGCCCTTTGCAGATATCCTGAAATTATCTGTGACCCTAACAGGGTTAATAAAATAAATAATTAAATAACTGGTTTATTCCCGGGTTTCTTCATAACTTAGCAAGCTAAATGAATGCTTCTATAGTAAACCCGTAGGTATGTACTATTTCGGTAGTTCATTAAAATGGCTTTCAGTTGTTTGCGTGTTTTGAATATATATTTGTTTTACTGAGTGAACTTAGTTTAAACACTTTTCCTTCGGTGAATAGGACGCTAAATCGTTCCTTTCTGGATCAGATTTGCGCAGCATTTCTTATGGCTAGTCTATTGTACGTTGGATTTCTCTGCCTCTGTATTTACGTCACTTGTGTCCTTGCTAAACACTAGCATCCGAGACCCAAACAACAATGGCTGATATTGAGAATCGCTGGCTAATTCTAATGAAATCTCATAAACGTTCTTGCAATGTCTATGGGACTACAAAGCAAACCCTGGCCTTACGTTGCCTTTGGAATGTACTGGTAAAGCAGTGACATAATGGTATTGCGACGAGTGTATACAAATCCACAATCTGGTGCCAGGATGTCACCAAAAAATCTGGTGCACACCTGTCTCAAGGGAAAATACAATAGGGCTAAGCTTGTTGTGTTCCTATGCGCTTTTTATCGTTTTTCAAATTGGTGTCCGATTACTATTCTGTCAAATGGTTTGCCTAGCTGCGCTGCGCAATAATAAGATTTCGCTACCCGGTAACGCACCATTATATCTGCCTATTTCACATTGTCACGAAGAGATGGTGTTCAGAGTAAAGAACCTAGAAGAACAAGTGTTTTACACTAACGGCCGGGTCTCTCTACTAGACGCCGAAATAAGAACTACATCGGCTAGTTTTTGTGTGATACGGTACTGGCTTTAACTGAGCTATCCGTATTATTCCTTGAAGTCAAACTACAGTGTTGTTCCGTTACATTCCCTTCTAGGAACACTCGCAAAGGTACTTGTTTATAAGACAAGCTAACCACGCTAAGACAAGCACTTACGTCTCCTAATGAGACACTGGCAATACCTATCCCGTTCCCTTCTCTGGTCGGTAACCATGAAGCCTGCAGCCCCACTGTATTTCAAGTAACTGGAAATTTGCTGTCATGTATTTTAACAAGTGATTGAAGTTGTCAGGCGATCAAACAGCAAAATGGTACTTAATGTTGCCGGCCGTTTCCTGTAAGCTGAAACTAAATCCTGTACTGAACAAATCAAGTGGTCTGCCGGATAGCTGCACTTGTACGGGCCCGTAGAAACGGTGTGGCAAACACTCCTGCACATTTATCTTCACTTTTACAGCCAGGTGCTTGCCATAAACGTTGTTTGAACAAATGAAGTTAGACTGCGCTTCAACTTTGGTGCCATACTAAAATAGTCGGACGGATAGCCACTTGAGCTAGCACCTGCTTCCTTAAACAAAACCACAAACATGCAGTGGAGTTTTGGAGCAACTCTGACGGCGTCTACCGCAGTTCATTTTGCCACCCAGCCTAATGTAAACCTGGACTTGATCCCGAGGCTGTTTTCATCAAAGGTCTTACAGGTATTATCATTGCGCCATAGTAAACGAATGTAAAGGATAAAACAGGAAAGTGACCGTTCCTTCGACTGCCAGCAAGAAAACGCTTTCGAATATGATGATTGCGTCAGACCAGTGCGAAAAAAGCTAGATAACGTGCCGTCTTAACTAGCGACCTCAAGTGCTGGGCGGTCCATCATCTATTTCACCACCAGCGTGCACCTTGATATGCTTTTACAAAAGATGCTACACCTCTCCTATGGTAAGGGAAAACACAACACAAACGTGTTAAATTCAAGGTACCTGCTATATCAAAGCCATTAACACAGAGCCTGCGAATAGACCACGTGGCCAACAACGGCCAACGGCAGGACCGCATGAGGTAGAAGGTCGATCACCAAGCTACTCAACCCGCTGCAGTTGAATGCGCAAACAAGACCCAAAGCCAGCACGTATTGGAGTAATTTGTAATTTCTAAGCTTGGTATGTGGTAAATAATAAGGTAAACAATACGACTGGACTGCGATAACTAAATTCAACCTGTCACTGTGATTGTATATACTTCTGGACTAAAGGATACTAACCTCGACGTCCACCTTCCGGTAGTATAGTGTAGTTTACAGGTAGCAACATAACGCTACCGGCATGGGTTGCAGACTTAACGCTTATGAATAAAACTGGCACATCCCTCTTGCCAAGTTTGTAGCGGTATCCAGTGCAACGCGAAACACAGCGTGGCTCAGAGCTAGCTGACCTTAGGTTTGCGGAACATACCAACTACACCCAAAGTTGCAGTAACATGCCAGACCAGAGAACACTCATCCTATTTTCGCGAGTATTCTGGGCCATGGCGCCAGCAAGTTGCATGTACCCAACACAACGGCCCACTTAGATGGCGACCACCACTAGGTGGAGGCAACTGCCACAACCTTTTCGTTATTTTTTAAATTCCCTTTACCTCTTTGGATTCGCATTCACCAATACAACGCCCAAATTTGCTAAGCGCATGCATACTCTATATTATGTAAGGTGCCGAAATATTCCAACAATCGTCCACCCGCCGAGCCGGTGAACACGCCATTTTACACCTGTCAAACCTTATGGACCTGGAAAAGCAACCAGGATGTTTTCTGACGACATCAGGTTGGTTGATCTCCGTGCGTGAAACAATCACTCCCTATAACCTTGCAAGTCATCAGGAAATCGCTGGCATGCCAATCGCCTTACCTTCCCTGGGTGTGGCTGTTTGGCACTTAACGTTGGTTCCAGCAATAG